GAGAATGAAAACCTTTATTTGACATCTTTCCTTCCAATCTGATTACTACATCTTTTTCTTTCTTTCTTTCCTTACTCTTTCTCTAAATATCCCCTTGATAGCATATGGCTGCTTCTCTGCCTGCCATGTAACTCATTCCCCGCTGACTTAACTCAAACAGAAGAACTTTTTTCTGTCTTTCTCTTCTCCATTCTCCTCTAGGCAGCTACCAAGAATTAGTTTATCTTCTCCACTGTTCTTTTGAATGCTAATGAAATTGTCTGAGTTTCTGAGTCCATTCTTACATTCTTTAACCTTTTTTTAGATTAATTTCTTTTTATTTTATGTATGTGGATGTTTTGCTGGCTGCATGCCTGTATGCCATGTGTATGCCTGGTACTCACAATGGCTGGATGAGGGTTTTGGAGCCCCTGGATCTGGAGTTACCACATATTGTTGTCCACTGTGTGGGGGTTGAAAATTGAACCGAGGTCGCTTGGAAGATCAGCAAGTGTTCTTAACCACTGAGCTGTCTTTCCAGTTCTTTAAATTCTTTTTAAAATGAAATTAATAATCCAAGAGCAGGTTCCAATTTTCCTCATATTATGTGTCAACTCTGCTGAGATTCTTCAAAATTTCTGGTAACATACCAAAAGCATGTATAGTTGTATCAAGAAATAGATCTGGACTTGGTGACACGCACTTTTAATTCCAACACTTGGGGAAAAGATTTAACTAGAACTCTGTGAATCCAAGTCCAGCTTGATCTAGATAACTATTTCCAGACCAGCCAGTGGTATACAGATATTTCCTGTTAAGAAGAGTAAAATAAAACAAAAATTCATAAAGAGAATTCATCAAAATAAAACATTTTATAACAATCAACAGAGTGAAAGGTTGGCCTATAAACTGGTGAGGGGGGCAATAGTTAATCTCTAAAACAACTAAGAAGCATCTATAACCCAAAGCAAAACCTATGACTAGCCCAACTAAAACACAGGCTAATTAATGATATGCATTCCTCCAGAAGAGAAGTTTGTTACTATTTAGAAATAACTGATTCAAAGACAGTTACTTAGCTGGTGGAAGTTGAAGCAAACACCCACAACTAACCACTGAACTGAACTGGAATCCAGATGTAGAGAAGGACAAGTGAAGAGCAAAGGGGTCCAGACCAGGCTGGTGAAACCCACAGAAACATCTGACCTGAACATTGGGAAACTCTTGCTCCCCAGACTGATAGCTGGAATACCAGCATTGGAATGAACCAGACCCCATGAACATGGGTTTCAGTGAGGAAACCTTGGAAATCTATGGGACCTGCTGTAGTAGTTCAGTACTTATCCCTAGCATAGGTGTGAATTTTGGGAGCCCATTCCACATAGAGGAATACTCCCTGAGCCAAGACACATGGGAGTGGGCCTAGGCCCTATCCCAAAGGATACTATAGACTCTGATGATACCCTATGGAATGCCTCACCATCCAGAGGGAGCAAGAAGGATATGTGATAGGTAGGGTTTTAGTTGGGGGCGGGGCATGGGGGAGAACGGGAGGGAGAAGGGAACTGGGATTGTCATGTAAAACAATTTTGTTTCTAATTCAAATAAAAAAATCTGTGGGAAAAAAAGACAGTTACTTGGGTCCTATTCAGCAAGAAATCTTCATAAACAGTGACTTTGAATGAGCTTGTTTTCTGTATGACAGAATGACTGCACAACCACTGTGTCTTGGAGGGAATAGTCTCAGTAATCAATCTGAGAGTGCAATGCCCAAGGAGATTCATTCCAAACCTCCCTGAGAGCCTGAGATAGATACACAGAGAAAGAAGAAAGACAAAAGGAAGAATGTAGGGGCTGCATTTCTATGAGACTTGAGCTCTCATCTCTAGCCTCTACAGACCAGGAAAAAAAAGTAAAAAAACTGACTCGGGACACAAGTCTATGGGGTTTGGGCTTCCAGTAAAACCTCAGTTTTCAGCTTTGGCAAATCTCTTCTACCAAGGTCATGACCTTTTGGGAAAGAAGTGAAACTTGGAATCAAGACATCTATAAAGAGGCATTCAGCTTGAAACAGTCTTTTCTGAACCCCTTGGCCCTGTGGAAGTGGCCCATCCCACCCTGTAGCTGATTAGCCTTCTCCATTAACTGGAAGACAATGCCTTGAAACTTATTCTGCAGGTGAGTCACAACTGACTTTCATTTTCTATTCTGGCTAGCAAATTATTAACTAAGGTCAAGTCACCATATATCCTTGACGGGTAAAGTTGATTTTGCCATGGAAGAAGGGCTGCATTTCAGCTAAATTGAAAAAACGGAGCAAGCATAGACTAGCAGTAGCTTCAAGAGGATATATGAGATTAACTCCTGAGTGTGCTGAGCTTGACAGATCTATTGTTCTGTTACATAAAAGTGATGAGGGAATTAATTCATCTATATGCTAGTAGAAATTAAGAACCTACCACAAATTACAAGGGACAACACTTTACTAATAAAGCTCCCTTAAAATGAAAAATCAAATGGGCCACATGAAATAAAGTGAACATAGAAATGTTATCACAGAAATTAGTCAAAAGAGCAAAACAATTTTTAAACCTGTGATTATAAATAAACAACATAAAAAAGACAAGTCATCTGAAGCACATGTTCTGCAAGGAAACCCCCAAATACTGCATTATTCAATAAATAAGGGACTTCTTAATGAGAACCTCATTGGGAGCTTCTGTCTTCTGCAAGACAAGGTTGGTAGCAGAAATTTGTCACATGGATCATAATTGCAATGGGGGTTGTAGGGGACACTGTAACCAAGCCTGCTAGGGGTGCTACAGGTGTGCCTGACCACACCTGCGAGGGCATGGTCAGGGTGATGTAGGGAAGGTTTAAGAGTGAGGGGCTCTCACATGGGCTTCCCTTCTTCCATTTCATCTTTGGCTTGCTGTACTTACTTCTGCCCTGCTGGCTGGCTAGGTTGCTCTGTAAGTAAGGCTTTTCCCTAATAAATACCCTTATATTTTTAACTGACTCCATATTGGTAATTTCCACATTAGGAGGTAAGAACATACTAATAAGAAAGAAACGGTCCACTTAGAGTCAAAATCTAGAAAGGACATTATGAGCAGCATGGTGACACTGACAACTGAAACAGTCCATCCTAATACAGGCTGAGGATTGTTACTAGTATGGGATGCCCTGTTCCACACAGAGGTTTGCTACTTAACCAGCTGGGGTACTTCTACAGTGAAAGAAATTAACATCTCTCTACCTGAAGTTTAAGACGTACTCCAATAAGAAGCCATGAGCTTAGGTCCAGGAGACAGAACAAGGGTAATTTTTAGAATTCATCAACTAAAAGAGCATCGCAGTTCTTATTAGAAGGAAACATACTTCAATAGTACCTTCCCACAGGCCCTTCTCCAAGGAAAAACAAGGTCTCTCTTTTTTTTATGTGATGTTTTAACTGAGGGATATCAGCCAGTGTAACTACCATGGGACAAAAGGTTCAAGTAGAATTTGGTTCATACAGTCTGTGGCATCACCCTGACCTCAGAAATAAGATCCTGGAGGTCAGGTAAAATAAAGTCTCTGCCATTTAGTCCAAGTCCAAGTTAATGATGAGTTTCTCAGTTCATGTCCCACTTGATGAACATTTCTAGTACCCAGACACACAATCACATGTAATGTGAGTTGACATAATTGTGAGCACAAAAACAATTTTAGTGTCTTAGCCAGTAACAATGGCCAAAAGCATGCCCCTCCATGGCAAAGGCTAGCTATTAAAGACATCACAATCTGGGAACAGATGTAACAGGACCTTGATTAGTGCTACCCAACATACTTGAAGGTGTGGTGTAGTCCCCATCATAAGACTTTCCACTACAAAAATCAGAGTGAGAGGAGACAACTCAAACTCTGCCCAGAAGTAGCCACACTTTCAATGGTTGGGCAGAGCACAGCAGCTGTGCTAGAGAGAACAGCTCTTCCTCACATATATATCATGAGAATGACAATTGCAACAATGTTCTCCATACTCATTTGAGAAAAGGTTCTTGATCAAAAATAGACGATAACAAATGTTTGTGGTCTTGTTTGGGTTTAATTAATCCTCATACTTTTGTCATAGTAAGTCGAAAGGAACCCTGGCTGTTGGGATGTAGAGTGACATTGATCCATCATATCTGCAGTGTCACATGTATCATGCAGAAGAGCAAGGTAAGGAAATTACAGGGTTCTAGCAGATCAACTGAGGCAAAACTGGGTGAAGCTAGCAACAATGCAGGGCAAACCAAATGCATAAATATGTCTAGATCAATCATGGTAGTGTCAGAGGATCCAAGTTAACTACATGTTAGTCAATCTTCAGTTACATGAGGTGTCCAGGGTACAAGAAAAGAGAAAACCCTAAGTCTGTTTATCAGCTGATTTTTCGTCGCATGTGGATGCCAGCAAAAAATCAACCATTGCTGGCCCATCTGGTTAGAGAGCCACAGCCACTCCTTCTTGCTGTCCATTTTACATTATTTTCCTCTGCAAAATAAGCACTTTTATGAAAGTTTTATTTCCATTCAACCATTCTATCACTTTTCAATATTTATCCCCAAAGCACCAGTCAGTAAACAGATGAATATATGCTAAAGAACTGTAATTTCCCCATCTACTGCAAGAGGAAGCTTCTCTGATGATGACTAAGCAAGGCACTGATCTATGAGTATAGCAGAATGTTCTTACATGTATTTTATTTCTGTGTCCCTTACCTGAACAATAGTATTTGCTTTTCTACTAGGCCCATGGACAATCCATTCTAAGATTCATGGTCACCTAAGCAATGTCAGACATAGGTTTTTATTCCTGGAGTGTGTATTTAGTGTGTGTGTGTGGGGGGGGTATTGACTGCTTTTTTAATTATTCTGTTTTGTTGATTTTTGTTTACCTATTGTTTAAGAGAAAGAGAGAGAATAAATTTGGGTGTCTTGGGAGGTAGAAAGAATATGGAAAGAGTTATGGAAAGAGAAACCATGATCAGAAAATAATGTTTGAATTTTTTTATTTTCAAATAAAGAAAAGATGAAAAAGAATTGCATGTTCAGAGAATTTCATCTAGGATACTATTTGACTTAAGATGTATCTATTTACACAAAATTGAAGTAAGTGAAATTTGCTTTTTGTCAGCATTGCAACTGATGAAATAGTAATGTTTTTTAGAACACCAAAGATTTTGAGGTTTGTCAGTATGAAAGATTAAATAGGTCCATTCAAGAGTTCTAAAATAGGGCCTGGAAAGATGGCTCAACAGTTAAGAGAGCTTGCTGATCTTGTAAAGAACCCAAATCAACTAGCTCACAGCTGCCTGTAACTCCAGTTCCAGGAAGTGTTAACACACTTTCCTTCAGCACTAAAGGAACTTGCACACACATGGTGCACATATAGACAAGTAGGCAAGGCCTATACACATAAATAAAAACAAATTAATCAGAAAGGTGCATTGTTGATAGAATATGGAATTATCACACATGTTTGTTCATGTCTTTCAAATTAAAACTGATGGCCTAATAGAGAAATTTGTCTTATAGCATGTGTTTTATTTTCTAAATTCATTCATATAATGACCACTAGTTTTTACTACAATTTCAGCCTATTTTCAACTGGTGATTACGATGTCACAGTACCTTTCTGAACTATACACAAGCAGGTCTTCATGACATGTAAACCCTAGCACAAATACAGCAGTAAAATTCAGACCCATCAAAGCATGTGGCAGGTTACACAAAAGTACCTGGCAACATTGAAAAACATGATGCTGTTTTATTGTGAAAAACCTGTATTTTCAAAGACCTTTTCAAATAAAGCAAGTGACATGAAGATATAATGACCTTTCTTCTGGTTAAAGTCAAAATGTCTTCTGTTAAAAACATTTGCTTTTCTTAATAGTTCAACATCTTGACATCTCCTGTCTGGTGTTGAATAGATATTACATTTCTGTCACTGATGAAAAGAAAAAAAAACACTAGATTAAAATCTTAGCAAAAATGTGAATATTAAGTATTAAAATATAGCTGATTAGTAAGGATAACACCATTTGAAATATTGCACAATATTAAGGTTATTATTATTATTGCTTCTATTACTACACATGTTTCAAAACTTATTGATTTCAGTGAAAACAATAATGCTCCCCATGATACCAGGTTCACCATTATTAACCAAATAATCTGAAGTGCGTGTTCACTGGATTATGCATAATGTATGAGGAAAGAATAAAGATGAAAGAGTTAGATTAAGTTTAATTACCTTACAAAATCATAATGAATATATATTGGTTTCTTATTATTATTGCATTCTGCCAATGAAATTCCTGTACTCTCTTTTAGTAAGCTGCAAGGAGCCACTTGTATTCTTGAGGAACCCTTCTCTCCATTGGCACTAACATCTTGTTGACTCCATTTTCTAAGTCCTAAAAGGCATTCTCATTGAGAAATTAGCAATGAGGATTGTGATGATGTTATATTCTGAAAATCTCTTTTACATTCTAAGAGAACATAACCATTTCTGGAGCTCACAGACTGAGTTAATAATACACCTTGATGTCACTTAAGATTTAAGACTACCAGCCTATTATGTACCCAAACTGTTTGCTTAACCTGCCTGTAAGAGAACATTGTAACAGGGAACTTTAATTGCTTTGGCCATTCCATGTAATCAACTTTAAAACCTAATCTAATGTACAGCTGCAATCTTTAGTTATGTATTCTGTCATGCACTTGGGCCAGAGTAATGCATGTGTACCATTTGCTAAAAGCAACAAACACAGAAGTTGAAAGCAACTTCCCAACACCTACCATAAAAGTTGAAAGCAACCATTTGTAGCTGTTAGATGATAAACAATGATATTTGTTGTGTGGGTCAGTTGGAGGGAGTGACTTAATTTCTTGTAAGAAGCTGTTAAAGATGTCTGTATAGTATCTCATTCCAAATCCCATATGATGTTGCCTATGCTGTTCAATAAATAGAGTGAAGACCGATAATCATGCCACACACAGATGGACAGACAACATGCATACACACACACACACACACACACACACACACACACACACACACCCTATACAACAGACAGACACACAAAGGGATATCCATACACAGACATAGGGATGAACAGTTTCACAAGACAGCGTTCAGGCAGGCACAGATTCAGACTCAGACTCAGGTAATGGAGAAAAAAAGACTCAGGAGGATGAAGTAGAAATACAGAATTCAAATAAGGACTTAAGTTGTTTAAATGACTCCAATGGACAGTGTTTTTATTTTTTTCTTTAATGTGATGCAGACACATAAGTGGTGACTTGGAATTAATCACCAATGTGTTCTAAAAATCCACACAGAGAAGAGATCCTTGAGATTATGTACACTGTATACACTGTATGTGCACACATATGCAAACACAAATGGTACTATAAATCATTTAAAATAGTCTAATAGTGGATTGGACTCATTAAACCAAAACACCTTTATTGAACATACTCTGTGATGGTTTGGGGAAATGGAAATGAAGATTCTGAAGCCGAATTACTCAGATTTAGATCTGAGTAATTTTCCTGTTTCCTGTTTCCACATTTGCCAGCTATAGGTCTTACGTGTTTCCTGCCTATGATTTTATTTATTTATTTATTTATTTATTTATTTATTTATTATTTGTGTGCATTGGTGTTTGTCTGCATGTACATCTTTCTGACAGTGACACATCTCATGGAACTGGAGTTATAGAGAGTTAGGAGCTGCCACGTGTGTGCTAGGAATTGAATCCAGGTCATCTGGGAGAGGAACCACTGTTCTTACCCACTAAGTTATCTCTCCAGCACCCCTGTTTAAGTTTCTTGGCTTTGTTCTATATCATATATTCAAAGCAGGACTGGTGCAGCAGTACTTAGCTCTAGGATGGCTGTGAATCTTAAATTCCTTATAAAATTTGCTGAAAACTCTAGGGATTTTTGTCATTCCTGATGGAATGGAATGGGAGTTCTCTCTTCCTGTTCTCTCTGATGATAATGTAGTGTATAGTATAGGATGTGAAGTCATAGAATAAACAATATTTATGTAGTTATCAAGTAAGCACTGTGTGTGGTTGGGGTTGAGGCTCCTCAGCTGCCACATGAAATCGTCTTTGGGATTCATTATCAGGTTTAGCCTTTATTCCTGTTGTTCAAACAAGAGCTGAACAATAGAATTTGGCAGTAAACTCAGCTGCCTGATATCATTTTGCTTCATATCATTTGGTTTTCAAGATACAGGTCATAATCATTTACAAAATCATGAAGGAATGGAAGGGAGACCCTGCTGAATAAGTATGTGTGAGTTGTTTTCTTTTTTAAAAATCAATTTTATTCAAATTAAACAATTTTATTTTATATACCAATTCCAGTTTCATCTCCCTTCCATCCTCCCATTCTCCCCACCAGCTCCCCATCCCACTTACCATCCACTACCTAGGGAAGGTGAGGTCTCCCATGGGTGATCATCAAATTCTGTCACATCATTTGCGGCAGAATCTAGCCCCCCCCCCCCTGTGCATCAAGGCTGAGAGAGTAACCCTCCATGGGGAATGAGCTTCCAAAGTCCATTTGTGCACTAGGGATAAATACTGGTTCCACTGCCAGCAGCCCCATAGACTGCTCAAGCCCCACAACTGACACCTATGTTCAGGGGGCCTGGTTCAGTCTTATGCAAGTTCCCCAGGTGTCAGACTAGAGTCTGTGAGCAGAGTGAGTTGTTTTCTACCCATGGAAAAGAGTGTGTGGAGTGGACCCTGACTAGCTGAGAACACTCAATACTGGTTATAAAACAAGAAAACTAACAAAAGCAAACTCAATGTAAACTTTTCTATCACGTTTGCGTATGCAAACACATATGCATGTGTGTGCAAACACACCTAAAACTAATCATTGATCTTTAATGGAGCAGTAGCTCTCCATATGAAATATGTGGTGAAGAAGGCATAGAGTTCCAAGTTGCACAGAGTGATAAGGAAGAGCTTTGGAAGGGAAGTCTTTGATGGATGATAAAGGTAATGGCATGGAACTTGGATTCTATATAACTGAAACAATTAAAAACAAAACTAACTTGAGAAATTGGCAAAACTCTATTAGCTTTTAGTCAATAAGAATAAAATTAACCAAATTAATACTCTATTTCAAATAAGAAAGCATATCAAATCATTCCTTAATTACAAAAATTAATAAAAAGCATGAAACAAATAACCTGATGTTCATAATAACTAGGTCCTCCTTCCTGGGGTCTATCACCCTGTATCTGCAGAATAATGGCTTCCAAAGATGCACACACATGACAATTCAATTCAAGTTTGTTAGTATTTTTTCACAATTTTAAAATCCATATCCCATACTTTGATGTATAAGTTAAAATATCATAGTAGTTTACACATAAACACTTATGCACAATGCAAAGAGGCATCAAATCTGTTCCAGGAAATGTACGTATTTGGTGGCAAAATGGGAAATGTGTGGAACATAGCAAGAAAGCAAATAAGATGCCATACGTGAATGTCATTGAGCCCTTCAGCAAAGTGTTTTCATGCCACATGCTGCATGTCTTGGTCCTGGAAGCCTGACTGTGGTGAATTGGGAGTGAAGACATGTCTGAAATACAGGCACACATACAGAAAAACTGGGGTCAGGTGGGCTGTGTGAGCCCTGTTGGAGTGACATCAACTACACAACAACCTGATGCCCCAGCACGTTTACTATGTTCAGCACAGAGGAGAGGTGTTAGCTAGTCTCAATTGGGATGCAGTCTCAGGTTTCAGTCACCAGGCAAAAGGAAGCTGTGCTGCTAGTTTTGGTACACACTGGTCAATCATTGCTAAACTCTTGTAATTTGGCCAAAGGAAGGCTTTTCAAGTCCTTCAACTTGACCCTATAAAGGTTTGCACATTCCCTTTGGTGTGTAACACTGGGGTCATTGCCAATATTACACATTCACTTAGGACTTCCTTACACATTTACTCAGGACTTCTTTTACTCATCACATATTTATATCAAAATAATGATGTATTGTTGATGGCAATTTATTAACTTGGAAGGCAGAGATAGGTGGATCTCTATGAGTTCAAGGCCAGCCTGGTCTACAGAGCAAGTTACAGGACAACCTTCAAAGCAGTACAGAAAAACCCTGTCTTGAAAAACAAAAAAAGAAAGAAAGAAAGAAAGAAAGAAAGAAAGAAAAGAAAAAAAATGTCATGGTTGCTTCTGGAGACAGAGATTAAAGCTTATAGTTCACATTTGAGTCATTTGAAACATAAACTGGTTGTTCCTGTATTCCATCCTTATCAACCCCCAAGCTTTTGTTTTGGGCACAGGTATCAGTAACTCCTGACAATAATGACAGCTACAGATTACAGGTGAAGGAACAGAGTAGGAATATATGGAATTTAAAAACTGAAATTATGACTCCAAAATATTCCCTAACTACAGGCTTTTTACACCTTCCACATCTGAATCAAACAATTCATATTATTTTTCTCACTACTTCAGTGAAGTATCCCTATAGCTTATCATTGCATACACAATGCAGACATACAGAGACACTCAGAGACAGAGTCTAGATGCAGAGTCTTAAACTATCTTAGGACAAAGATAAGTTATCACACCACGAACTTCTCTATGATGTGTGACTACCATATGTGCTCAATTGTGCCTGATTTCTCTGTAAACCTAAAATGTCTCCCTCTATTATGTTATCTCCTTTCTTGTTTTCTTCTATAAGATCTGACACATTGTCACAGAATTACTAAATGCAATTGCTCTACAGTATAGAAAGTAATGGAAAGTATTTGAGCTTTCTATACTTAAGGACAGGAAAAACACTCTTTTCTATGTCAGGTAGTGATTAGAAATTGTGGCAATTATCATATTGCCTCAAAGCTTTAAGTCCTGTAGGAAAAACTAGAATATGATTATTTCTGTCCTTATAGACTCATGAGGAATTAACATTAGAATGCTTTTTGCTCATGTGGGCTTGGACATGGAACAGGTTCCACCAATGTTATTCATGAATAGCTTGTGTCATTATGCAATAGCAATGGATACAGTATTTGAACTGCCAAAAAGTAAAGAAAAGAAAGAGTAAGGCAAATTAGGGGTTAATTTCCTGGCCTGAAAATATGATTAGGATAGGAAGACATTGAAGTCTCTAGCCAAATAGAGTAGAACCTAGCAGTCTGAGTGAATCTGAGGAGCAGTGAAGTTGGAAACAGTTTGGTGATTGCCCGTTTTATCTAAGCTGAGGGAGAGGTGAGAGCTAGATGCTTGGCCTCTTTGCTTTTCTGATCTTCAGCTTGAAGCTTGAACCCCAGTATCAGTCTCTGGGTCTTTTATTTAATATGTTACATTTAATGGTTGATAATAGAAGTTCTTGAAAGTACTTAAGTCAAGAATGAGATCTTGAAAATTGGAGTACACATTTTAAGAAGAAGTACCCCCAAAGTTTATGAAACATTGTGGCCACAAAAAGAAACAATTGCTATTTTAAGAGAATAATACCTTACAATGTACATGGATCTTTTAGCACAAATGGGCATTCACAGTTCCATCAATAAGTATCTTTAACATAGATAAATCTTGACAATAGAAGATGAACCACCCATAATGCTTCTGTGCCAAGTTATGAAGCTTTCTATTTTTAAAACTGGGAGCATTGATATGCTTCCTACCAGGATCCATTGCATGTCCATCATAAGCTACTGATGGCTGAAAGAAACAACTTACTTTATTGCAAAATTTTATCACTAAATGCAGTTGTTGACATTATTAATTGCCATATATTAATAAGAAAAATGCTTTAAAATTTTGTTCTATTGTCGCAGAGTCCTTTATACTTCAAGAAATCTGACAACATAGTATTTATCTTGTTTAATACTATTAACAATTACGAAATATTTATTTATTACATTTGTAAGGCTTCCTTACAGTTTCAAAACAACTTACTGGTGATATTAAAATATCACTCAAGGCACCAATGTCTCCTCAAGACGCAATGTCTCCAGGATTCCTAGAAGGAACATGTAGTGTTACCTTCCTGTTGGATTTATACCAATAGGTTTAGAGAAATCAAGATTAGGCCAATTCTTTCCTAACTTTTGTGACATAGGGACCTGGGTAAAGGTCACATAAATAGAATATTGATTATATGAGTAGCTCTTTTTTAGTTGAATAGATATTTAGAGGTTAGCCATTCCATACAGCCAGTTATCTTCTTACTAAGAAGTGAATGGTTCCGAAAAGGGTGAATATTTTTGGGAGAAGAAACCTGAAAGAATAATAGTGAGAATTTAAGAAAAAGCAAAATAACACTAACTTACTATCTCAGGCCATGCAAACTATTCATCAGAATCAGGGAAAAGAAATGTTTTTGATGAACAGATCAGAGAGTGGGTTCTGTATTGTAACAGGAATTGATGAACAGACTTATAGGAGCCAGGACATCTCAGCACCTAGCAGATAGAGTAGAAGGTTTCTGAAGTGGCTTATTAAACACCTAAGAAAGCTTTTTTAAAGATTTGTTTATTTATTTAAATGTTGTGTGTGTGTTTGCATGTAAGTGTGTGTATGTGTATGCAGGTTTCCATAAAGAGCAGAGCATCTGATGCTCTGGAGCTGGAATTATAGGCAACTGCAAGCCAATGATTGTAGAACCAAACTTAGGTCCTCTATAAGAGCGACATACACTGTAAACTACTAAGGCATCTCTCTAAGCATATCTTAGAGAGTTTTAAATGTAATCTTGTTTGGTTTTTTGTTTGCTTGCTTGCTTGTGAAATGTATAGAGATATCACAGTTCAAAGTGATAAGACAGAAATGTTAGAAATTAGGGGAATTGGAAGAGGTGTGAAGTATCATCATTCAAGGGGGGGGGGAAGTTAATTTATTATGAAACAATAGTTAGTGTGGATATGCTGAGCTTCCATTTGTGAGCATTGCCATAAACTGTAGTAAGTCCAGAACACAGAACTATGCTATTTTCCTAGGAATCACATTGCCATACAATAGTTGATATGTGGGTTTCATCTGGATTGGAAAGTTTTCCTAAATGAGTTTAAATCAGATGGTGACAGAAAAATGTGATGCGTTTGTGAGTTGAGCCATGATGCCCACCAGTGGATTCCAAGACAGACAGAAGTGAAGTGCAGCATTACATGAGTAATAAAAAAGGAAAATTAATGGGGTTCTGGAGATGGCACCATGATAAGGGCCTGCTGTACAAGTGTTAGGACCTAGTTTGCATCTCATGGACCCAGATGGATGCTGGTCATGCTCAGCAATGTTTATAACCATAGGCATAGGGCAGGGAGCACATAACTCACAAGAATCCCAGAGTTCACTAGCCAGCCAATCTAGCCAATTAGTAAGCACCAGTCTCCAAAAATAAGACAAAAATTTATTCATAAACATATCTAACATTGACCTCTTTCATATACCCACACGTATGTATACACACACACACACACACACACACACACACACACACAAGCACATGAATACAAGGGAGTGATGTATACAGAGAGGAGAGAGAGAAAAATTCACTGCACACAACAAAGAAAGAAATGAAAAAGGAGCATGATAATCAACGTAAAACAGATGGGGTTAATTGAAAATGCCTGAATATTTTTAATCCAATTGGAAAAAAATCAGGGACTATGTATTTTTAATCTTTAGTTTGAAAGTGTTAAAATTTTCATGACATTAAAGGGTAGCCACGGAGTGGGGAAAATAACTAAAGAGAAGGAACAAAAGAGTTAAAGGACTGATTGGCCTTGGCATAAGTTGACTGGTTTTTAGAAAGTTCAGTATTTCATGAAAGATGACAGAAGACACGCTGGGGAAGATTCCCTGGAGGTAGGGAGCAACGTGTTCTATTAGTTCAGTAATTTCTTGAACAAGGATGGTGTTTGTAAAAACATATGAAGATACCTATGTCAAAATATAATAATTTGAACAAGGAAAGAAATGTGCACAGAAAAGGAAAAATAATTAAAAAGTAAGTTACTTATTGCCTCCACAATCTTTGAGATATTAGGATGTGTGGTCCACTATTACTTCAGTGACAGAGTTCAAGTAAAATGGAAAGAATAAGCATTGTGAACTCTACTGAACATTCTGTATTCTATTTGTCCTTACTTTATAATTTCCAGGCAGCAAGTTTGGTCTTGAATTCGGTTGGGTAACAACACTCAGTGAATTTTCATACCTATCACAGAACATATTAGAAACATTTATTTTAATTCTTAGCACAAAATATGTATTTCAGTGCTAATATGAGAAAATAGTGAATGATATAACAGTTTACTTTTATAAGTAAATAGGTATATCTACCCCATATATTGCTATAGTTAGACAGTACTAAAAGTAGCTTGAATAACTTCTAACATATTATAATGCATAACTGGTTATGTTTTAAAGTTGAGATAAATACTCCATATTATTAGTAATTTATATTATCTCTTATGGAAATAAATAATGTGTTTTGATGCTATGTTAAGTAAAATTTCTGAAAAAAAACTGTATTTGTTCCTATTTTTCTAACCGGTCTGCTCTTTGTCATTAAATAAACAAATTATAAAGTGAAATTCTCATTTCAAATCTGACTTTACTCTCTGCTATAATCCAAGACCTAGAAGTGTATTGTGTGATCAATAAACATTGATGAATAAGGCTACTTTATAAATTAATGTAGAATTTAAAAGTAATATTTAACATTTCAAAGCATCCAACTGACATTACCTATATGCAAATTTGAAATACTTTGAATTATTTAGGACTCAATTGGTAGAGCCTCAAACTTCTTTCTTTAAAGCATTGGATCTGCTGTACCTGAGTCCCTGTGCAGCTTCCTTTTCAGTGAGACATGGCTGACTCTGCTGTCTGTGACACCAAGGAAACAGTCTTGAGCAGGCAGGAACACTGGAGGAAAGGAACCAAATACAGGGTGTGTCTGTGCAAGGGGAATTAATACTCACTTTCCTTCCCGGTCCCTACTACCTTCCTTCCCAACTTTGAGTTCTCTTGTTCTTAGACCCATTCAGTCCACTAAGTGTTACTTGCATGTATAAGAGGAAAGGTAAATCTACTAGAACTTGTGTAGACTTTCAAGAGATGCACCCCTAAACAAATAGATCCCCCACTCCAGCTCCCAGCAGCAGTCAATTGCCAATATCTTATCATCTCAGAAGGGGAAGTGCCTCCCCCAGTGCCTGCTACAATTCTGGCTGGCTTGATCTTGTGAAAGTCTTGTTCATGCAGTCTCAGATGGCCATATCATGCCCATCAAATGGCTCTTACAGTCCTTTCAGATGCCCTATTTTTTTAACTATCTTGATAACCCTTCCTTTACCTTTGGATCATGTCACTTTGTCTTTCAGATCTTTATTACATCTTTCAGGATAAGACCCAAAGTTAGAAAGTACAATAGACTCATGTTAACACACTTCTACTGTTATGCTTATGAAAGGAGAATAAATCACCTTTGGTGTTTTTAGCATCTTTATTTTTGCTGCTATTCACTCTTCAAAAGGCCATTGCCTCTGGTCAAAAGTTTTGTAAGCCATAGAAAGATGCTTACATTTCAGTCACCCCTCATTATGCTGCTCTGTGATCTATAATCTCTCTGCTCTGTGATTTAGTTCCTTTTCTACTAAAGGATGTGTTCATGAAGAGCACATACTGTCTGTTATCATCCCTGTTTTCTGCTCTCCTGTCAATAGCCCAATAGATCACAAGATAGTTACTGGATTATTTCAACCCTTCTCTGATTGCTCTTCAGGCTCTTCAGGCTCTCTTACTGTGTCACTTCTGTTTATCCTTTGATAAGCAAATATAATCAGAGATCCTGATCTTGATTATGCATATGGACAGTTAAAATCCCATTTATGATAATTTATTAAAGTTGAATGTCTTTAATTCAATCAACAATTTTTGGAACAGGTATTGGCTTTTAGGCCAGAAGGTTTTCCTTAACACTCAAAGTCCACATGTAAAATAGTCATCTCATGATGAAGCATGAGAAACAACACAGAAATTTTATCCAAGTCTTTGTCTCCATTTTTATCCTGTTTTCGAAGGCACCCCCCAATAGATTTCCTTTGAACAAATTCAAAGGGAAACAACAGAAATCTTACTCTTTGAAGAGGCACCATGCTACTGCATACAAACACATCAGAAAGAGAGCTCCCGTTAGAGTGAAGACTGCTGGAAACCAAGTGTCAGGACTCCAATAGTATGAGATCTTCCTTAGGACAGAGGTAGTAATCTGAGAATGCAATAAATATGTACTAAGCATTAATGGTGCAATTGACAAAATATGAAATACAATATATACTGAAAGAATTCCTTTATATTCTTTTTCTTTATGATTATTCCTACTAGGGGATAAAATCGTATTAAACAAAAGTATATCTTCCGTATCTTTGTGGATTCTATGAAGTTCTTGGCAGGGCAAATTAACAAATACTGGCTAAATGACATATAGGGTGAGTCAGCAAAATGAACCATAGTATCATTGACCTTTTTTGTCTCCTGCCCAAAATCTCAGATTTCCCCCCAGTATATAAAGTCCCGTTACTAACTACCTCAACTGTGGCCATTAAGAAACCAGTAAGTAGCAAGGTTTTCCACGATTTGGATTATTGTCCTTGCCTAAGAAACAGTAGCATCCAGCAGATGGCAGCATAAGATAGGATAAGCTTGTAAACACAGGCTTTAGGTGTGGCATTTAAGGTAATTTATAAAGCTAATTTCACAGAAATGGCAAGAAGAGGAGGTGATAGGAGAACTTTACAAAAAAAGAAAAGAGGATACATCAACAGAAGTGGTGTGGAAGTAATCCCATTGCTTGTGCAAATCAGAGAAAGGACTCCTAGCTGTGTTGAATGTGGTTAGTTGTTAAGATTAAGCATTATATGACTAGCCATTCTGCTTTATAATACACAAGTGTGGGCATGTCTGAACAAAAGGAGATGGGGAAATCAGGTTAAGCTTAAGAGATGCCAGTGAAAGTGATGTGATCTAACATTCATGAATAAATAATGTCCTATACTTCTAAGTATATATAAATAGAAAGGTTGACAATCGTTTTCCACTTAAGAAATATAGCTTTATTTTCAGATCTTTAAGAAATAGCTGGGTGTGGTGGCACAGCCTTGGAGTTCCAGCTATTCTGATAGCTGAGGCTGGGGGATTACTAAAGCCGAGGTGTTTAGTTCAGAATAATAATACACACTCGAATACTTTTGCCACAGTATAAGAAAATAGATTCCAACTCCCCTCCCCCCTCTTTGTCCTTACTGCCATCACCTCTTTCCTTCTAACAAGTATTTATTGAATTTGTGTTTTGGTCTGAGAATCAACATATAAAGGTCATACACAATCATGAATCCCAGGCACAGCATTAATTTATCAACCCCTGAGGGCTGGGATTCATATGCTTCATACTGTCAAACTTAGACTACTGTAACAATTTTAAGTTTCAAAAGTCTAATCCATACCATGGCACCAAAGCACAATATTTCAAACAGCCATTGTAGCTCTCACAGAGTCATCTGTAGGAAATTGACAGAGCTTGACACTCACCTGGTGTGAGTGCTTGCTTGACAACAAGCAAAGATTTTTTGAAGCATTATTTTCTCTTTTGTTTTCACATAAAGTTTATTCAACACTTTCTGTTTGCAAAAAAACAAACTTAATTGTGACATATGTCAGGCTTCTAAGTTAAGTCGGGATAATACTGAGATGTGGTATAAAAAGAGCAAAAATCTTTCCACAGGTATTAACAGAATGATAATGGATTATATTTGCATAGCATGTTTATTACAAGACCTTTCATGTCTCTTGCTTCATTTGATACTTATAAAACCTTTTGCACAGTACACAGAAGTATTCTAACCTATCTAGTAATCCCTGTACACTGAGTAAATACTTAAATGTGTAATTTGTGTTGGCTGGAATCCCTAGCTACACGCTTCCCACTATGTGATTCAAAACAGCTTGAAAGTCCTTGTGAGATTTTTATATTTCCATTGCTTTCTTTCAGAGAGTGTATTATGCTATCACTTTATGCTTTATATGTTTTCAAGTCTGTTGGTGACCCTAGGGCACAGAAATCAGCACTTAACCTGAACTTTTGTTGCAGTACCTGCCTGTCTAACTTTCTGGACTCAGGTCTTTTTTTTTCCTTACTCCTTTTGCATTTGCTGTTCTCTAAGATTTGCCAATGCACCTAATTTCTTCACTAGCCCTTTCATCAGGCCAACCTCACTTTCCATCTCAGGACACCCCTGATCCTTCTCCTTTTTGAATAAACCATGAACTCTCGAATCCACCTTTCTTCCACTGTGGCTGTTGCTTAATGTCTGCTCTTCTCATTCTGTCCATCAAAACCTGCCTAAAATTCCAGTATCTCTTCTGGGACATTCTCAGATCCTTCTGGCCAGAATTTGATATGATGTCTGCCCTACATTTGTTTATAGCACTTGTCAAAATGACTTGTAACTGAATTTACGGGAAACCAACTTCACTGGAACTTCTCAGACCCTGGATGCTAAACCCCTTTGATTTTGTACCTTAGTTGCTACACTAGTCACATGATTTCTCAGACTCCAAGCCTTGCTGTTTCTTCAAGGCTTGCTTCTGATCTTCCTGGTTCTATCACACAGTAAGTCTCTAACCTTTAGAAAATAATTTAACCCAACCTTGAGAAAAGAACTTGGACTTTCAGTATTTCACTTTATAACTTTGTAAAGAGACAAAACCAAATCTTTGAATTGGATTAAATCAAATCACTTTTAAAATGTGAAAACTCAAATGCAGATGTATTTAGAAACACAAATCTCAATACCAGGTAAGAAGTCTTGTTCAAAGATTAGTTGCACAATGTTATGTTAAGGATATTGACTCCAATTATTGAATTCCAAACTTCATCGAATTCATTATAAATTGGGCATTTATTTTTGTGCAAAGTGCATACTTTTCATATTTGCTGAGGCATTTTTGAATGCTCCCATGCTTGCCTCAGCAGACAACCCGAAGGCACTCATGGACTCAGACACTGGAGTGGCGCCTCCTCCCGGTAAAGAAGATAAGGAGTAAGGAAAGGAACTGCTCAGAACAGGTGGACTACATATGCCATCAAACATTTATCACTGATGAAAACGCAAGAATCCCATCTGTCACTCAGTCATGCTCTAAGCTTCTCACTGCCACATGCAGTTAATTTATTTTGATTCATAGCCTTAATCGCTTAACTTGCTGTACCTTACAGAAAGGACAATAATAGGACAATAATAGTAATCTTCCCTGTCATGGAATCTTTGCCAGTGTTCAGAATCAGAGTCACAACAAATGTCCAAGCCTGCCTGTTCTAATGCCTTTCATATTATTACACTTAATTCTAACTGAAGGAGACATTTTAGAAAAGATGTCAATAAGAAATTTGTCATTAAATTTTTATTCTCCAGTATTTTATTAAAGGCAGACTAGATGTCTACTGAAAATGTCAAATAACTTTTAATAGTAAAGATGATGATTTAAACAAAAACAATGTTTTTCCACTTCCTTAGAAATTTACCTTAAATAGTAAAATTATGATAATGATATTAAAAACTTTAGTGTTATACAGAAAATATGAACAGCTGAAGAGGATGTGGAGAAAGGAGAAAAGTCCTCCATTGCTGCTGGGATTACAAACTTGTACAGGCACTTTGGAAATCAGTATGGGGATTTCTCAGGAAAATGGGAATCAGTCTACCTCAAGATCCAGCAATCCCATTCTTAGGCATATGCCCAAAGGATGCACATTCATACCACAAGAACATCTGGCCAACTATGTTCAGCATTATTTGTAATAGCCAGAACTTGGGATCAACCTAGATGCCCCTCAACATAAGAATGGATAAAGGAAATGAAGTACATTTACATAATGGAGTAATACTCGGTGAGGGGAAAAAAGCAATGACATCTTGAAATTTGAAGGCAAATGGAAGGAGCTAGAAGAAACCATCCTGAGTGAGGTAACCCAAGACACAGAAGACAAACAAGACAAACTCACTCATATATGGATATTAGACACAAAGCAAAGGAGTACCAGCCTACAATCCACACCTCCAGAGAAGTTAGGAAATAAAGAGAACCCTAAGAGAGACATACATGTCCCCCCAGAGAAGGGAAAAGGGACAAGAGCTCCTGAGCAAACTGGGAGTAGGGTGGGGTGGGGGATAGGTAGGTAGGAGAGAGAGGAGAGTGGAAGTGGGGGAGGAGCAGAATATGGGGAGTATGGGGGAGTTGAGTCATGGAAAGTATAAAGGAGAGCAAGAAGGGAGATGGCTTGATAGAAGGAGCCATTGTGAGTTTGGGGAGGGGACTGGCCAGCACTAGGGAAATGTCCAAAAATCCATAGGGATGACCCTACCTGGGAGGCTGAGCAATAGGGGAGAGGCTACCTTAAATGCCCTTCCCCTATAATGAGATTGACAACTACCTTAAATGCCATCCTAGAGCAAAGGAGTAAAAACCATGCTGGGTAAACCCACAGAAAAAGCTGACCTGAGCAAGTGGGAGCTCACAGAACCCAGTCTGACAGCTGGGGAACCAGCATAGGACTGAACCAGACCCTCTGAATGTCGGTGTCAGCTAAGAGGCTAGGGCAGTCAGTCTATGGGGCCTCTGGCACTGGAACCAGTATTTATCCCTATTGCAGGAATAGAATTTGGGAGCCCATTTCCTATGAAGGAATACTCTCTCAGCCTAGAAACATGGGGGAGAGCCTAGGCCCTGCTCTAAATGATGTGACAGATTTCAATGATCCCCATGGAAGTCCTGACCCTCCCTGGGGAGTGGATGGGGGGTGGGATGGGGGATCGGTAGGGGCCTGAGAGGATGGGCCTGACCCTCCCTGGGGAGTGGATGGGGGGTGGGATGGGGGATCGGTAGGTGCCTGAGAGGATGGAAGGGAGAGGGAACTGGGATTGGTATGTAAAATACGATTGTTTATAATTTAAATAAAAATATATAAAATAGAATAAAATAAATTTTTAAAAAATATGAAAACTTTTTTTTATTCCTTAGTGGAAGCTGTAAATGAGAACTAAGTGTTTTGTGGCTAATACTTCAAAGCAAGAAACAATCTATTTCTGTATGTTTAGAGCTAATAAATTTATAAAGCATGCTATGTATTAATAACATCTTATGTTCTGGCCAATGCACTAGGAAGGTTGTTGAAATCTCTGATAGTAATCCCTGCTGACAAATTGGAAACTG